GAAGAAGAAGCACGAGAGTTGGTTTATACTTAAAGTAGATTTAGGGCTGAATTTGAATGACAGGGTGAGAAATTGTATGATAAGAGAAAAGCGTGGTTTTCAAGATGATGTTGTGACTAGGATTAAGAAAACAATGCTTCAGTGGTTTGGTCAAGTAGAAAGAATGAACGAGGAAAGATTGACAAAGCAAATTTATGTTGCAGAACTGAACTTAAGAGTCGGTAAGGGACGCCTTAGACAAAAGTTTATCAACCAAATTGGCGATATACTGAAGATGAATAAAATTAAGAGTACCACTAACCCACGGGCATGTACGCATAGGTATAAAGATGTAAAGAGTAGTATATAGATGTAAAGTCCGTAGTGTTGCCTACCCCTCTGGGTTACAGGCGTGAGTGTTTTAGAATACAACTACTAATTTTGCAAATAAACTATGTTATAATTTTAATAAAATTTAGTTGCAAAATAATAAGTAACAAAACAGAAAAAAAGGGCGTAATAGGAGTAATCAAGTAGACGAAACGCGCTTTGGAAGCTCCACATGTCTATAAGAAAGTATAATTCAAAATATACATTTTTATCGTTTAAAATTTTCCGCGCGCGCCCATTTGTAACTTCGCACCCTTGGGCACGTGCCTAGTATGCCTTAAGGATAATCCGCCACTGATACCATCCATAGCCCTCTCAAAAATATCCTATGCTTCTCAATGGTACATACATACATATATATGACGACGTTATTGTTATGATCGACTGATACATTCTGATCAATTAGTGTCGCAACGCTGTCCTTTTTTTCAAATATGAGAATGAGACCACGTTTATGCAAAAACCAAAAAAAAAAAAATAGATATTTATTTTGGATTGAAACGTATTTGTCCTCGTTATATTTTTAAAATTGTCACTATAAGGGGAAAATTGACTGGGAGAATATTATCATCATTATTTTATTATCTTCTCGACTGGCACTTTCTGACAGGCAGGATTTATTTTAAGACACTGCATCCGCGGATTGAGGTACGCCGGTCTGAAATATAAAGATCATTTTCTCGGTCTCATTTTTGACAAAAGATAATCAGTAGGCAACGTGACCGCTGGTGTCGTCGTCTATTGCTGATGACTGCCATCCATTGGTGCTGCAGCATGCCGGGCCCGCGTTCATATTTGTGAATGGTTCGGAAGTTTTAAAGTAAAATGAGTATTTTTTATAGGATTAGGGTGACATATGAGCACACAGTCCACCTGATGATAACCTTTAAGTGGTTGCTGTGGCCCATAGATATCTACATCTTCCCTCGACTACGAATCAAAATGCAGATGCGTTGTCACTCGTAAGTACTACGTTGTAATGCTTGTTTCCAATAAAACGGATTTCCAGTTCTTTACACTCACCATACAAAACACAGCAGCGTTATGCTGCTATTTTACGCTGGTATCCTGTGTGCGTGGTCCTTCCCCGGTCAAACCAATCCATCGTGCTACAACTATACTACTAATATAGATGCAGAATGGCTCTACCACGTATAGCAAGAGTATATAAACAAGTTTGTATTTGAATGCATAACTTTTCCCCATCGTTTCATCAACTTGACTATGTACCTTGTTGTTCTATGTAAGTATAAAATATCTTCTGTAAACAAGCCTTTCTCTTTTCTTCTTAGTGGACGACACCCGAGCAAAAGTAGAATCTACTACTGCTTTTGGTGCGACACTATTGCTTTTATGGGGACGTGACGATGTCGTTGGAACAAAGCGGCTAAGTGATGTCAAGCAATTGACCGATCGACGTTTGTTTAAAAACGTCATTTCCTAATTTTTTTTTCGTAATAGCAAAAATAAGATGTTGAAAATAACGGACGGAGTGCAGTTACCTCGAAATACAAATGGGTAAATTATTTAATGTCATTATTATTTCATATGACCATACTGCTGCTGTATTTAGTTAAAAATCGGTATATCTATACTATCATAACTATTGATTTACAAAATGCACTAGATACAGGCCTTGTAAAGTCCACTCTAGTTGCTAAGAGTGTATCGTGCAAATACCCGTAGCTTCAACCCGTCGACTACATTATTTATTGACGCGTGCTTTACACTTAATTTGACGCGAGGGCCGGCTGTTCAAGTTCAATTAAAATAATGATGGATTTCTTATTTCATTGAAACTTTATTTATTTAGTCATACTGATCGTCTATATATATGTTTTTAATAGTCAACTTCAAAAAAGGTAATGGTTCTAAATTCAACTATAAGTATTTGAATCGACTAAATTGTAAAACGATTTTAAACATTCTTTATAAATAAATTGGCCTCAAGGATGGTCCCATTTTTTCTTTTAATACAAGTGGGGGCAAACGAGCATGCGGTTCACCCGATGGTAAGTGACAAACACACAAACGTTTTTTGATTAAGAATCAAATGTAGACACTTTGTCTTTTTTGAGGGGACATAATGCCTCGTTATCAGTAAAAAGTCTCCGGTTTTCTACGCTCACTATATACGAAAAACAGCAGTATTCATTTGATATTTTACGCTATCATTCTGTGATAGCGTGGTCCATCTGCGATCGGTTATAATAGTTACAGCTTGAGAGGTGATGGCATCAACTTCTTATCATCACCGGGTCACCGCTCAAGCTGTCCTCTTGCGGACTACAGATAAGCCATGTTTTGATAAACAAATTGAGTTCACTGGCTTTTTTTCCTGAAAGTGTGTGCTGTTGGCCCTGCGACCTTAACAACTTCGTCGAAATAGATTCATGAGTGAGGACCCACGAGCTATTGAGTGTAATGATTCTGCCGTCAGCGAGGCGGAGCGAAGCGCCGCTTCGCCGACTACAGTCCCGAGGTACCTTAACTCCTGCTTTTGGAGTGAGGCTCCTCAAGCCAGGAGGGTGCTCCGATGTGATTTAAGGGCCCCTCTGAAGAAGGAACGAACCTCGGCTTGAACCACACTATTGTAATGAAATGAGAACGGGTCGCGAGGACATTCTTAGGACGTCTCTCGGTGGGGTCAGCATCCCCATCCAGGGAGTAAGCACCCGCCTCCACCACCAATTTCGGATTTCGGTGCTCCTTAATCGAACCGAAGTATCTTAAGAATACGAAGAAGGTGTGGGTAACTTGAGGTCACGGTGGAGATCCACGTTCCTCACATAGAATGGAGCTCCTGTGATACGACGCAGGAACTTATTTTGGACGACTTGTAGTCGCTGAAGTAGGCGAGGGTCGGCATGGGCAAAGGCTAAAGGTTTTATAGAGATGCAGCTTGTGTCTTAAAGACAACTTGCTGCGTTTGTTAGTTAATACGAAGAGGCGATATATTACAAATTTTGCCTTTTTTGTGACGGCTGTTATGTGACGAGAGAAGCTCATCGCATGATCTAATGTTACCCCAAGGTATTTCACCTATTAAACCCAGGGAATAGGGCTGTCATAGACGGAGAGTATGCTATCCTTTTTGTGTCGATTGATCATCACATGATCGCTTTGCTTTTATCTGAATTGAGTTCGATTCTCCATTTTTTACACCAATCGCCTAAAGCGTTTGCTGCAGCTTGAAGTCGAATGCATACCCTAATTGGGTTGCTATCCGATGAGTATATTGTTGTATCATCCGCATAAAGTGCGAGATGAGTATTCGTCATTTTTGGAATATCACTCACATAGAGTGAGTAAAGGGTTGAGAGACCACAGAGCCCTGGGGAACTCCTGCTCCGAGAGGTCTAAGAGAGGAGAAGGTTTCTCTACCCGGAAACGAAAGGATCTATTATACAAAAGTCTTGAATAAGTTTGAAAAGTCTTATAGGCACTCCTAAATGGATAAGTTTATAAACTAGTCCATTATGCCAGACTTTGTCAAAAGCCTTTGCCACATCGAAAAACAGAGTAACGAGCGCCTGTTTTAATTTTTTTTGTAGTCTAGAATATGCTCCGTTAGGCGGTGCACCTGTTGGACACGAGTGTTTGGCGTAAATCTCGCTTCTTAAATGCGCCAGTCGTGGATGAACTGCGCGCCGTCCGCGAATGATTTACGAGTAGTCCACTTTGCTTACCCGCGACCAGGTTGATCGTAAAGGTAGTTTTTACGAAACTGTAGTGATGAAAAGTCACATACATAAATATTTTTGACAAAAACTCGTGAATTCATTGGACTGACGTGATATAGCCTTTTAAGTAGACCGCGGCATTATTTCGACGTAAAACGCCTACGGTGCGTCAACTTGTTCACCATTTCATAACGAGTAGACGCCAAGCGACGTTGCGGTACTAGTCGGGTGTCGGGTTAATAAATAAGGAATGAACTAGGTACTGCAAAAAAGTCTCTCCGCAAAGTGATGCTATAGATTGTGCACGAGAGGGCTAATAAATTCTTTAAGTGCTTCCCGTTTTAGGGAAGAAGTTTTTCGTCTCTTTAAGGACATTAATAACAGTTAACTCTATTAAGTTGGGTTTGTACTGCCAAAATTTTCACTAACGTTCAATTTCATTTTTTACACTAGGTCCGTTATAAAATTGGGAGACGATATTGAAAGTTTTTGTAAGATTTCAGGTTATAATTTTTATTAAAATTATGTTTTGCCAACAAACTGCATTTCAATAATAATAGAGACCAAATAATATTCTAGAGTCTGGTATTTAATAATTACATATTAAAGACCAGTTCTAGAATTCTGAGGGACACTGTTGGACGTTCAATAATATTCGCAGTCATATAAACTCTACAAGGATTTTTCTCTTGTCCGTATCTACGATCTTCATTATGCCAGGAAAATCCCCGCCCCTTGCCTTAAAAACCTGGACGCTTATCGTATTTTCACTTCAAAGTTATCGAAAGGGGTTGATGTTGCTTGGCGATGTCTTTTAAAACTAAAAACTAAAAAGTTTATATAATTTACAAAAAAAAAAAATTTCAATTTAAATATCGAATAGATATCATAGCATTTATTAGATTTTACTAATTCGCTTGCTTTACTAAACTTAACATAATGACTCACCCTTTGTAGTTAAATTCATTCGTACCTCTTCAACGTTTCCAACCAATCAGTACCGATTTACGCTGACTGCGGGCTTATTAATTTTGGTATGCTGGCTAATTTTCCTGTGAATTTGCCAAGTATTCACTTAAGTGTCATGAATTTGGAGATATTATGTGTGTGTGGTTTGTGTTTTAGTTAAAATGGACAAGTGTTATCCAATTCAAATACCATCTCTTCGTTACATCAAATACTAGGCTATCATGTTATCTGAAGAGCTCTCAATTTACTCATCGGATATAAAATTAATTTGTGTGATGTGTGTGTTATTGTGGGCTTTTGCTTACGCTTTCGCTTGTGTGATTCCTTTCAGTGACGGAGGAGGCACGTTTTATTTGAAGTTGAGGCTTATTTGCGTGCGTCCTCAGAGTTGAATGAAAAGTAGTTTCGTGCTCTAGCATGTAAAGTTGAAGAAATCGGTTTGATAGTATTTCTTTAGTTTTGTAAGTGAACAGCTTTTATTCAGAACGCCTGCCGTTTGTTCTAGCTCTGGATATCTGAAACAAACACAAATGTACCTATTAATTAAACATTTTATAAATATAGTTATTTTCCTAATATGTACGTCGAATTTAAACATTAAATCTAAAAAAGAAGATATTTAATGGAATAAAAAAGGCAGCATACCTACTACCCATTTAATATGCATCATTCCATAATATAAAATTAAGTGATATCGAACGCGAAAAAGCGGAGGGGCTAATTATCATAAAATTTGATCTTGCCCATAACTATGATATTATCGTGCTTGCATAAGTTGGAAATTTTGCTATTTTTACACAAAGATTTAGTTTTTTGTTTTTGTTTTTTTTTTACTTTTTATAAAACTTAATAGAAATAACAGAAACTCGGAGAAAATCTTTTTACTATCAAAGTAACTGCATTTAAAAATCTATTACTTGATGTAATAGATGATATAGGCAAATAAGTCTTCGTAGAAGAAGTCTAAGTCTTAGTACGTAATCTTTTGTAAAGTGGCAAAAGAGATAAAAATGAAGACAGCTTGCTTAATACACACGTCATTACATACATTCACATGAATTCGAAACCAATTTAATCGGAGTAAGTTCAATCTTGAATGCGCTTATCATTGACCAGCAATAAATTATTACTGTGACATGAGTTTTTAAATAATATATTATTAACCGATTTCAGAAAACGATGAGGTTTTGTATTCGATACGTATGTTTTACCTGTTTCTAGGAACCGATTTACCGATTTAAATGATACTTCTCTTTTTTTGTAGGTAACCTAACCCTAAGGTTTTTTAAGGAGTTAGTCCATATAAACTAAAAAAAGGATCCCACACTTAAACGTGGAAAAATAACTAATGAAACTTTTGATATATTTACCTATTTAGAGGACATTCGAACTGTTACCTTGAACTCGTGATATTCGAAGTCCACTCAAAAATATAAAAATAAATAAAAGTAAAATAATGTCAATATTAACATGAGAATTTTTTTTTCTGATATCGGCTCTGATTATTCTATACACTATGTCTTAACACTGACTTCAGAAGCTATTATAAGGAAATTATTTTATGCTTTAAGATTTTTGAAGGCGATTTTTAATTTTATTTAATTATTTACTGTATTCCTCAAAACAAAGGGTAGGCGTAATGCCTTGAGACATTGTATATCAGTCACTCTATGGAGTGGTGGGGAGTGGTGAGAATTTTCTGTAGGTGTAGCGAAAAATAACAAAATAAAAATTATAATTGACTAGGTATGTAATATATCGTAAGTAGCTTGAAGATACGATGATAACCGATGGGGAAAAAGGCACTTGAGTCAGCCTCGTATTGGTAAGCAAAGACTAACGCGACCTCCCATTAAGATGGTTCGGTTAAAAATGCAGAAATTCGATGGGAGTCGGTGGCTTAAAAATGTGTTTTGTGCGCACTCTTTAAGGGTGGCCAATGATTAGTAGTGGTCTTGTGAAACATTGTAATTACGATTATAATAGGAATAATACGTAGATATTTGAAATTTCATCATTCATCAGAGAAATTAAATGTGGTCACCCAAAACCAGTCATGAGATTCGAGTTATATAATTAAGGGGTTAGCTTTAAACGATGTTAAGATTGTTTAACCAACTACAAAAGGAAGAGGTACTCAATACTGTTCTTTTTTCATATGTGTTACCTCTAACTTACCTCTAACTTTTTTCTGGGTGAATCGATTTTAATGAATCTTTGTTAAGCTTTGAAAGCTGGTGCTTCTCGTGTGGTCGTCGCTCGTGAGTAGTTTTTGAGTTATCCTTAATATTGCGTATTTAATCGACTTCAAATACATTGATGATGTTCTCATTTTATTGATATTGAAGTCAATTGTACAATTTTTTTTTAATTTACCACTTGTTAAATCATCGTATAATGTATTATTTAATGAAAAGAAGTTGAAGCACCAATTGTAAAAAAACCATTTTCACAATTGTTTTTTTTTTACATACCTAATGCTGAAAAAAGTCAGAAGTACTCGTAAAACCATTAATAAAGGAAGAGTAAGTAAATGGTAAGATATAAATTAGAGGGGAATTATCAGAATTGCAGGTTCTTTTCATGCATACTTATTTTTTCTAGAAAAATCCTTAAATATTGCTGACACAAATTGGTGAGAGGCAGGTTGGTGGTATTGAACAGCGTGCGTAGTGCATTTGACTCATTGTTTTACTTTATTTACTTAGTTTAAATACCGTTAATCGGTCGTTATGTAAAAAAATTTTTTTACGATTTCAAACTAACATTTGCAGTTAGGTCATCAGCCGTAATGTAGACCGATGTGTAGGAGAACCTATTTTCCAGTGCAAAGTTAGGTTTGTTTTTTAATGGACTTACTTATTAGAGCAATTTATGAATTTCAGTGAATAAATTATTTGGTGAAAGTATGTACTTGCTTATCTAACTACTTACACTGACAAATGTGTCTATTGTAAATAAATGAATATTATCTTTTTTAATTTAGAGCATTCATGTATTAGTATCGCCAACAGGCAAAAAAAAAATCAAAAATCGTCGAGACTTGATTCCTGGGATAGATGAAATAAACTATCCATATACATAATTAAGTTTATTCGGAACACTCAGGGCCCTAGTCCTACTCTTGTTCGGTTGTCCGGCTTAACTCATTACAAACCAGCACTTGACTACATCCCAGCTATTGAACAGCTGCGAACCAGTTTTAACGATTCTTTTTAATTAAACAGGTTATGCGTCAAGGGTGGTTTTATTTAAATTTTGAAGAAAATTATCAATAATTAAATTTAAAATAAGGAAAGTTCGACTTCAAAAAATTAAAAATAATAAAATAGTTTCTATATACTAGCTTTCGATGTCGGTATTTACATAATATTTTATCGACGAATTGAAGTTCGACCTGATACGACACCCACGAGGCCAAAATATATTGAATTCTCGTATATCGGCACCACACGGTGAATGATCTTCCTCGTCAAAGACACAAATAGGGTGTTATATGATATGACTGCTAGTTTCCGAATAGATGTTAATGCTTATGACCCAGCACAGAAAAGGTACCTATTTGTATGGCCTACAAATAATTACTTTAGGACCGGCTGTATGTCCATGTGCAAATTATATATGTAGTAAAAGTCTCTCAGAATACAGGACATGGTCCTAGTGTGGAGGTAATTTTTTTTTAAATAAAAATAAATTTATGTGCGCCACTTAGTTCGACTTTTCGACGATTTAAAACGCATCCATTATTTACCGCTGCCTCTTTCGCCGTTCCATCTAATCAGGGTGCGTTCTTCACTTAATTCGTCTAAAGCGATTTTCACTCCATGAATGGTTTTGGTTAATGAAAGTAACACAACAGGGTTACGATGCGTCCTTATGGTGTTGATTGTGAAGTTCATTATTTGTATCTCTTTAAATGTTTATTTTCATAAACATTTTAAGGACTACATCTGTGTTACACGTCAATACTGTATCAGGATATCAATTAATACCCTGCTTCGTTAACTGCAATCGAGACCGTGCGACAAAGGTGCTCTCAATAGAATTATCAAGTTGCGTTAGCCGTGCCCAGCTTGCAGACGCTCGTCCATGCCGCTACGTGCCGCTAGTTACAGCAATTTGCCTGTATTGGCTCCATATATTTCCCTCTGTCCGATTTAATGCAATCACCAACATTTGCATAACACAGTGTACAATATATTCAAAGCGAATGGGTAATAGTTACGCAAAGTGACTAATTTTAATCATCATTTTCCTTCTTTTACCCAAGTCGCACACAGGTCCTGGAATCATATTATAGCCCGAGTCAAATTTGTTGTAAAAACACAAATGATTGGTTTTAGGCATAATGTGATTGTCTGTGTCTAACATTATACATAGGTAAATACATCATCGTATTTATGTAGGAACCCGACACTTAGGCCTCCATCTTCCCGAACAGTTTTCCTTCATGTAGTGTTTGTTTAGTAGCCGTAATTTGAAAAGGTGGTCCTACCTTCCCCCCTTCCATCAGATGTGTCTTGATCACAGAAATAGTAATAATATCTATTATTACGATTTCTGTGGTCTTGATGCACTGTGACGGAAAGGAAATGTTCCCTACCATCGTGCGCCGCAGCCCAGGTATGGTTGAGGGATGGGGGACAGGAATGTCGTTATTACGATGCGCCAATTTCTCTACCCACTGCCGAATCCTGTTTGTTTGCGGAATTATAGACCAGATTCGCAGCTGGGTTCAGAAAGGATGAAGTGATGTTGATGAAAGCTTTGTTCGACTTTAGTTTTCTCTTTCACACAAGTTCTTTGTGGAATCATCTTCAAGAAAAGAGCCTACTCTTTTTAAAAGACCGGCCACGCACCTGCAATTGACAAAAACCCTAGTGTTGCAGTTTTTAATAGGCGGCTCTAGTCAGCAGTTACTATATAATAATGTAATAATATGGGTTACATAATGTGTAGTTAAAACGATAAAGTTGCATAACACTTTAGCCTTGAGCA